CCTGGTACACATTTTCGGGTTGCGTTAAATAATTGGCTGACATGTGCCATGCTTCGGCCAATCATTTGCTCCAACAGAACAAATTTTGTGATATTTATCTTCGCATGATCCAATATCGATATTATCGTGCTATAATAATCATGATTTAAAATCATGGTTGGCTAAGTTTTAATTCGGGATTGTTTTTCTTATGTAATAACGTACAAAAAATAAATCTATGATCATAAGAGTTTGTATGATAACAAGAAAATATCAGCTAAGCATTTGTAGCATTTTGGTAATATATTAGATAACAAATAATAAAATATCGGTGCTTATACACGCGTATATCGGTAAAAGTACCAAATACCTGCAATTCCGATACAAAAACAAATTTTGTCAGCAATGTTCTAAAAATTTTAAAAAAAGTTCGGAATGGACTCGATTTTCCGAACATATACTGATTTTGTACAATGTTTATACCAATGTTGCCACATCATGTTATAAAAATTGTACAATATCGTACTAGCATTCGGAAAATCGACTCAGTTCTAGACAATACCTATAATAACCGTACAATCTTTTTTATAGGGCACTCATGTATTTAATTAAAATATCGGGATTGCTGATATTTTAATGGTATTTTATGGTTATTGGATAGAGTGTAAAAAATATGCACAAGGGTGTTGACGGCAGATGATTGGCAGATTGCGTCGCCGCGCGGCACAAACTTCCAATCCTATACATTTGTGCTTATTTTTTATGCCCTACCTAATAACAATATTATTGTAAAGCAGTTATTGATAACTACTATTTTTTTTTTTTTACATTCGTATAGCTTATGTTATCAGTTAAAGCCTTTTCTTTTTATTATGCCCCTTTTTAGAATGAGGCTATCATTAAAATTATGCTATAAAAAAAAGAATGATAAAGCAGTGATAATATAACCTGCACAAATTTACCGATATATTTACCAGCACCAATATTTTACTATTTGTTACACGATATATTGAGTAACTTGACGGGTCTGTAGCAATATATCAGATGCATATCGGAAGTTTTGTATTCTGATATTTTATCCGATATTCATATTGAGTTGTGATTAGAAACTATGCACTACAATAAATATTATTGCATTACTTAAGATGAATGACTTAAGAGGTATCGCTATAAATAAGGAACGGTGAAGACGGTAAACGCACTTTCAAGACATATTTTCTTTGATAAAGCAATATTATAAGAAAGAAGATATATTTTCTTTAATAATTCAATATTATAAGAAAAATGATTATTTTAACACACCTAAAGTCTGGAGCTATATTCCTTTCTCTCGGAGTATTGTTATTATGCGATTTGACTTCGTCTCAATGGACAAAAAGATTAAATCGTAGAGATATCCCTGAAAGTCATATTAAATTCAATAAACCGCGTATTTGTGATAGCGTTAAACAGGTTTATTTATGATTTATATTTATTAAAGTAATAAATCTTTGATTATTATTTAATACTAAATTTTTGAACATTAGTATTCAGGATATGTTGATGTTAGTAGCACTAAACATTTATTTTTTTGGTTTTTCGAATCGAGAAGTAATCCTGACAAAGATCCGCTCGTTCTTTGGGTATGTAAATCTAGTAACTTAAAGTAATTTTATTTGTTAAATCATTAATTGAAATTTTCAAATTTAT